CGTGTTTGGCTGGAGCTGTACTCCCGCGTCTCTCCCCTGCTCTCCGAGAGGCTGGGAAACGCAGATTAAATTCAGCACCACGCTCCACTCGCAGGCTGTCTCCCCTCCGGAAAAGTCGACCTTGTCTGATCGCCTCCTCCACTCTCATTGAAATGACCTCACTGAGATTGGGGGGGCTTGGGGGGCTGGGGAGGGAGGGAAGTGGGGAAAACCCACCCTGGCTATATTTATGTATGAATCTGGGGCCAATATGCAGGCGAGTCTCTACAGGAGCCCCGCCCCAGGGTCCAAACACAAGGCACCCCCCACCTCCCAACACACACCTCCTCCATCCTTCTTCCCACGCCCCAGCTGGGTTTGCTAAGGGAGCAGGAAAGTGGGGGGGCTGGGGAGGGAGGGAAGTGGGGAAAACCCACCCTGGCTATATTTATGTATGAATCTGGGGCCAATATGCAGGCGAGTCTCTACAGGAGCCCCGCCCCAGGGTCCAAACACAAGGCACCCCCCACCTCCCAACACACACCTCCTCCATCCTTCTTCCCACGCCCCAGCTGGGTTTGCTAAGGGAGCAGGAAAGTGGTGGTGCTGGCAGCAGATTCCCTTCATGCAAAACTTTGGGGAAAGAGAAAGCTGGATTCTGCTGCATGTTGTCCCCCCTCAAACACTGTCACGATATAGAACAAGTGTACATCTTCCTGCTGCCATCAAATCCAGACCTCAGAGCAAGAGCACTGCAAAAACTCAGATCCAGCATCGGAATGCTGGCATTTTTGGATCCCCTTTTCTCCTAGTACTAATGCCCAGATAGTGTGACTAGTAGAGATGCTCCTGGCATACCTATGCAATCCAGATCTCAATGCAACCCAAAGCAAATGAGCCACAACTATTCTGAGCTGAGTGTTGTGAAATCCTTCTAAGTTTTGGTACCAGTCGCTGCATTTTGTTGCTTAAATAGCATGCTTACCCTATTGCACCTTAAAAGCCAGACCCTGATGTGCCTCACTGCAACAATCCTCCAAAAATTCAGAGCTGGCATATAGACTCATCTGTTGGAAATTGAACCAGCAAGACATACATTGTGTTGTATCTAGAATTCTACCCCAAAATGTGGACCCCAGCACATCCCAGTACAAGATAGCTCCCAAAACTTTAAAATTTATACCAATATCTTGCTGAATCCATACTCTCCAGTATTACTGCCTAAATTTAGTTCCTATGTAGCTTCTTCTAGCCCACCAGAATGATCCACATCCCAACACTGGAATAACAGAATATTTTGGGGTCCAGATTTTCTGTTCAGGGAAAAAAGTCTACACTTGTTCCTTATTATAAAGATAAAATATATCTTTGAAGAAAAGAGTCCAAAAATTAGCAGAATCAAAGTAGATACTGCTTTTTTCCTGATCCTAAAACTTTCTTCTGAGAAAAGAGACATAATGCTATAGTCATGTGATGAGGCAGGATGCCCACTTGGAAAACAGGTTACATATGCTATCTAATCTAATTTGCACAAAGAGAGAGAGAGAGAGAGAGAGAGAGAGATCAGATCCAACATCTATGGCTATATGGGGCACATTCTAGATCTAACATATATATTGACATGGATAAATTTATTCCAGATTTACACGGACATCAGAATCAGATTTTATATCTAAATATGACATATGAAGGGAAGAGGGGGAAGGGAGAGAGGAAGAAGGGATATATAGCTATAGGATTGATAAGATCTTATCGCTTCATTATTTAGAACAGTGCCTTCTGCTAATCTTTCCACACTTGTCCCAATACACAATATCAGACAAGCAAATATTTTGTGTCACTTTCCTAAAGGAAAGCTACATTGCAGGCAAAAGCAAAATTGTCCCCTCACAGCTTCTCATATCTTCTGTCTTAAATAGAACCTGACATCTGTTATCATAAAAATCAAGACACAGTATAAAATCTTCTAACTACTATACTTATGTGGGAGGATGGTACAAGCACAGATTTTAAGGCACCCATATGGATATTTCTGCTATTCTAGTGCCCTTTTGATGTCAAATTATTATACATTTTACAGTGTTGGTAAGGTGCAGTGACTTTTCCCATTAGAATTTTTTTCAGAACTATAATAATCTGGTGGTGATAAGATGAGAACTGGCTAATGAGGTATCTCATTAATATGTTTAATGCATGCAGCCTGATACAGTGCATGTCATGTCAGGACAGTGTTTGTGTGACATAAATAATGTTTCTGGTGAACTGCTAGCTTTATATAACATTTCCACATCAGTTGTAATAAGCTGTCAGAAAGAGAGGGAGAACAAGGCCTTGTAAGAGGTGATTTCTAGCTGGAGATTGCTTGGTGTGACTGCTGTTAGGGATAGGGATATACATTAGAGTGGCATAACAGGAGGTGTCCTAGGATGCATGTTCTCCTGTATGCAGAGAAGTAAAGAATGGGGCAAGACCTCAGAGCTCATAACACTGCCCAGCTAGAGCTGAGTGAGTTTTTCACCATTTGAAATGAAAAAAGGAAGGAATTATATTTCAATAAGTATCTTTTTCAAATAAAGGTATTCTTATCTTATGTAATTGCTTTTGTTTATTTGTGCAACAATACTGCATTATCATTTAGGCCCTGATCTCTGGGATTAATATTATTCCCTCCTGTGAATGTAAGCATAGGATATTGCAGCATTGGGGCATTCACGTATCTGTTTACTCTTTGGTTATTTCTATATTTTATTGTTGTTTTCCTATATTTATTTTCCATAGCTGAATAATACTAATAATATGCCAGTATAATTTTTAATTATATTTAAAAAACTAGCACACATGGCTTTCCTAAGACCCAAAGCACAGCCCCCAAATGCTTTTAGCTATCAAGTGATAGTCTTCCATTGTAACTAATTTTTATTTACCAATACAAATAATCAAGGGGTGATGCTTTCTATACTAAAACCATCAAGCATATAATCATTTTTCTTGGAATAACTCAAAGCTTATTTTTAAAAGTAATTTGACCATTATACCAGGAAGTATCAGAGGGGTAGCCGTGTTAGTCTGAATCTTCAAAAGCGACGAGGAGTCCTGTGGCACCTTATAGACTAACTGAAGTGTAGGAGCATAAGCTTTCGTGGGCAAAGACCCACTTCGTCAGATGCATGGAAGTGTTACAACTTCAACATACCTATACCAGGAAGTGTTACAACTTCAACAAGAATACTGTGTACAATTCTGGTCTCCCATGTTTAAGACAGATGATTCAAATTGGAGCTCATGCAGAAAAAGGCTACTAGGATGATCAAAGGAATGAAGAACCTACCTTGCATAAGAAGGCATAAGGAGTTTGGATATTTTTAATCCAAGAAAATGGAGACTAGGAGAGATATGATTGCTCTCTATAAAAACACCAGGGACCGAGAGGAGTTATTTAAGCAAAGGACCTACGATGGTGCAAGAACAAATTGATAGAAATTGACCATCAACAAAAATAGGCCTGAAATTAGTTAAAGTTTATAAACATCATAGGAGTGAAGGTCTGGAACAGTTTTTCAAGGAAAGTAGTGGGGGAAACTATCTAACTCCTTGTAAGGCCAAGCTTGATAATTTTATGGAGGGGGTAATATGATGAGGTTGTCTGGAATGACATATGGTCCATCCATGACTGCTATTAGCAAATATCTCCAATGGCTGGAGATGGGACAGAACAGGGGAAGGATCTATGTTCTTACAGAGATTTCTTTCCCAGATGATTTTCCCCAGAGAAGTGTGCCCTGTCTACAAGCTGAGGGTTTAATTGGTCACCATGTTTAGGGTAAGAATTTTCACTCAGGTGAGATTGGCAAAGATCCTGCAGATTTTTGCCTTCTTATATAGTGTGGAACATGGGATACTTGTTGATTTGAGCTAAAGTAAATGTAGATTGTAATTTGCAGTCCTCAAATAGTTATGACTTTAATAACTCATACTGAAGTTATAGAGCTGCCATTGGAGTAGGTGGTTGAGGTTTTGTGGTCTGCAAAGTTCAGGAGGTCAGATTAGATGATCATGATGGGCCCTTCTGGCCTTAAAGTCTAGAGTACTTGAGATTCTCTAATAAATAATAATGACATATATATATATTGATAAAAAGCAGTTTGTAGGCCATATATTCATTCAGGATTCTTTACACCACTCTTGCAATATAAAGAATTATCAGGGTGTATGAAGTATAATTTAGTCCCACTCTGATTTCACTTTGCACTGATAGAGTACTCTAAAAAACCCGCCCCGTAAATGATAATCAGGTCTGTAATATTTAGGCTGCTGATTCTAGTCTAGTCCAGGTGAGTAGTGAATAAAAAATGAAAATACAAAGTGATCTCACGGATGCTTAGTGACAAATGAGAAACAAGTCATCTCAGTTCCTAATGGACAGATATTCACATTGCAAACATCTCTGTCACACATGGGTTGGGTGTTAAGTGGTTGTCTAAAGAGAAGAGATGGAAAAACAAGTGTTTCTGGAAACTGAACGACTCTCACTTTTAGAGGAGTTGCCTCATCAGGCTTAGGGCACATAGGTTGGGCTAGCATGGGGCAGCTGACACTGTTGCAGCCTGAGCGGAACTTACTGTATTGCTAAATGACAAAATTGAGCCCCAAGGGCTGTCAGTGAACCTGGCACCTTTCATGAGCACTAAACTGGTTTTGATTTCTCCGCATTTCATTAGTTTGCCACTGCCCAGGCCAAAACAGCCCAAAGAAACACTCTACTTTCAGCCTCTCAGTTCCTGAGGTGATCACTGATTTCATCTTCAAAAGAGCCACATTTGGGCTTGGCTTGTTTATTTAGGTTAATGGTGGGAAGGGA